GCTCTCAATTCTTCCTATGCATGGTACTTGGGATGGGATAAACCAATTTAATTTCTTGTTTTAAGGCGTTTTAGGGTCAGAATGTTAACTCTCACGAGACAAAATAAAATTCATGTTGGCGAAAAAAATAAAAATAAAACATATTAAAACCATTTCATTCTAGCACTGCAGTTTGAAGTTAGAGTATAAACTGAGGTGCAAAAGAAACTATACCTCTCAATTGATTTTATCCTATGTTTGAATTTCAATTGAAAAAATCTTAAGTTAGCGATATTATATCCAAAACACTAACTGTACAGGCGCTTAGTCAAAACTCAAAGAATACTTCTACAAGGCTATATTTCTAAAACATAATTATTTTGATTTAAAACTTTTATAAAATTAAGAAATAAAAACATCTCGCATTATACACTACTGCTGGTGTGCATATCATTGTTTAAAATAAATAAGTTTGCTTTTTCGGCTTGTTCTTTAGCAATATACCAGCAATGCCACGGCTTGGAACACCAGAAATAGGCGCCGCACATTAAACCAATGTTGAGAATCGAACCCGGCCTTCGAGCGAACGCTATACCACTAGGCTACCCCTACCCATCCATCCCCGCCCAACATCTTCCTCTGTGTGGATCTGGTGGTTGCGTTTGGCAGTGGCATGGATGCGTCGGCATCACATCAAAACCATCTGATTGGCATACTGCATTACATGTTCAATATCTAGGAACATGATTTACTCTCGAAGTTCTGCTGTACTGTTATAAACATACGGGGTGGTGGGGCAGCCTGGTGGTTGAAGCGTGATGTTGCTGAAATATTGCTAAGGGCCGTGTATCCCAAACTGTAAACGTCCCCCTCACGGGCTTACCTTCAATCACTAAGCATGTGTGTATACAGGTCAGAAAGGTCCTCTGCATATCATCATTGGCGTTAGAGTCGACTAAATATGGGGATTGGGTGGTTTGGTACTTGACTGATTGTGTGTCAATGTATACCACGAAGACATGGGTCGTGATGTGTTCATTCTTTCTGTCACCAGTTTCCCAGGTCCAAACTCGAATATTTACATGTTGCAGTGACAAGCTGGAAGACTCCTGACCTATCAACACGATGCTCATTGGTGGAAATTCAAAAGAAACTGCAAACTGCTTCACTTGATCGCCATCTCTGTACAACCCTACGGAATAGATACCTTGATATCAGCTGATACAATCAGAGATGCAAAGGCAATACGGGAGACAGACGGCCACTCTGCATACCCCAAACTAGATGAAGCGCGAGTACGGTCACTTTCCACAGCTCTTATGTCATTGGATTGTACATACAGATCATAAATCTGCAAATTAACTTTCTTTTAAGTACCATTTACCATTAAAATATTCATCATACTTTTGAAAATTATAAACAGTACGAGGAGTGACTGATATGTTCTGAGCCTCACATGAGGAGGACATTAAAATAATTTGTTTTTCAACACGATTCCCTTCCACACATTTGCCAACGATGTTGGAGGGGTTGTATCCCAGTTTCGTAGAAGTCCTTCTCTTGGCAGCCCCAAAGGTTCTCCCAGCTGTTGTGACGTCATCGTTCGAGGCGAAATGGGTGCCGGCTAGAGCTTTCTTCGGGTTTGAGTTGGATTTTACACCGCTTTTAGCAATGTTCCAGCTATAACACGGCAGGGGTCACCAGAACTGGGCTTCACACATTGAACCAATGTGGGGAATCGAATCCGGGCCTTCAGTGTGACGAGCGAACGCTTTAACAACTGGGCTACCCCATCGTCCCTTGGGTTTGGGAACAGATCGAAGTCTGAAGGAGCGAGATCAGGAGAATTAAGGTTGATGCTGAGTTCAAAACCACACTCGCGGGTTGTACCCATAGGGATGACTGATTGTGCACTCGCGCGTTGTCCTCATCGGTTCTCAGTTTCCCGTGCGTCTTAGTCTCAATTTCATCCCGTAATTACCTCAAAAGTGAAGCATAACAGCCTTCGTGTATTGTCTGGCCTTTTGATAATCCCCTATGATGACACCCTCAGCATCCCATCCCATCTATTATCTTATTATACGTCCGTGTTGAAGATGAAAATATTTATATAAAAATAAATGATAAATAAATAAACACAAATAATTGAAATAAATACTTATATTATTCCGGCTGATGGGACAGTCTTTGTCTTTGACGGTGGTAATGTCAAATGAATCCACTGATTTAATTGTTGTTTGGTCTAATTGATAGACTTGGGGTGGCTAACCTATATTCATCCATAGTCACAAATAATTGCAAGAACCTTTCTGGATCAGCTTCAAACAGTTAGATAATCACGAGACATGTTGCGCATGTGCGTTTAAGATCAGTTGTCAGAAGCTTCATTGCCAAAGTTTCTGTGATAACGGAATGTATGCTGTTTTGGGAAGTGCCTACTGAGCAAGCACTATGACTCGGCCAACGCCATATCTTACATTCTCTGGCTCATCTATGGTGTTGCTAACGTGACGTGCCCTCCAAGTCGGGGGTCGTCGACAAGGCTCTCCCTGCCACTCCTCAACTCTACTGCCCACCTCTTTACGGTGGCAGAGGAAGAGACACCCTTCGCTTGTGTTACACTGGTATCTCATGGATGGCTCTTTGTGCAAAGCCCAAAGCCCTTGCAAAGTTTGTGGGTAAGACTTTCGCCCTAAAAATATATATGATTAAAAGGATTGAGCGGCAGTGCATACATATATTACTTTTGGAGAAGGGTGGGGTGGGGTGGGGTGCGGGAGTCTTTCCAGCTATTTGACGGAGGTCTGTAAATAATCGAGTCTGGACCAGACAATCCAGTGATTTATGAGCATCGATCCACGCAATCGGGATACGATGGCATGCATCAACCAAGTCGGCGAGCCTGACCACCCGATCCCGTGAGTCGCCTCTCACGACAAGCACATTAGCCGCTCATGGCAAGCATGGGTTTCTGATAGGAGGCCTTTTCTAACCCGGATCTTCACGGGTCTCACCTGTACTCCACCCATCGGTCAACCGGTACGGGGTTTGTATGTTGACTATGTACAACATGCACCTAGAATCGTGACTCCCACCCATGAACCAAGTTCATGAGATATGCATGTGAGGTCTGTTTGTGAGACATATTCGGGCTGCTTATCTCTTAGTCCTCGTATATCTCCTTTCCCGGGTCTTATCTCTGAATTTTTGTTTGTTTGTTTAACACCGCACTAAGCAATATTGCAGCTATATATGGCGGCGGTCTGTAAATGCAGTCTGGACCAGACAATTCAGTGATTGACATCATGAGCATTGATCCACGCAGTTGAGATTCGATAATATAGAATCAGCCAAGTCACTGAGTCCAACCACCCGATCTGTTCTGTCGCCTCTGACGGACAGAACAGGTTGCTGGGGCCCTGAATCCTTACCCCAAGTCTCCTCGGTGATTTATGCTGATTTATGATGAATATATACACAATATATACAGACTGTGGTCCTCGTTATGTCTGCTACGCTGTCTTCTGCTTATACTATAATAGGGTCGCTGTATGGCTGAAGTAATGCCGATGCGACGTAAAACTTTAACTCACTCACTACTATAATAGAAGTAACGAGTGGTCTTTTATGGTCCACAGCGCGACTGTGCATGTAGTTACGTTCCTTAGTCGGTCAAGGATCCTCTGAGCGTGGGTTTGGCTGACGTTGTGGTTTATGCACACAACATCGGGATAAGCGTTCGCTCGTTTCGTCGAAAACAGAAATGAAATGAAATGGCGGATGAAATTAAATAGTAATCAAATGTACATTAACATTGATAAAATTCTTTTTGACAAAATCGATTAAAGAGACAAAAATATATTGATATAGCATGCGACTTGTCATTACTTTATTTAAACGCTAAACGTCACCGAAAATTAAGTGACACTAACTATAGATTGTCACCGTCTACACTTTCCTGTTTCGTCAATGTAAACTGCACGGTAATGAACGTTTGTTTTGATAAGGATTGGAATTCCCCAGAAGGAAGTAAATCACCATCATCGGGTTGTTTATTCAGCAACAATTATCCTCCTGCAAATTGTGTACCTCGTCTGGTAGATCTTTCGATTGCAAATAACATGTTTACGCGTCACACGGTTCTGAGGAAGTTCCAGTCAGTTCTTTCGCAGACACTAACTTTTTCGACGATGTTTTTTCGACTCCCATTCGGCTATACCTATTTACAGAGCCGTTGTTTCGGGTTTGACACGAGCAAATTCTTAAGCAGAGACACGTCGCTTCATCTTTGACCTCTGTCAACACAGACAGATACTTTAAGAAAATAATTGTACGAAGTGCTGCAGCACGTTTGAACTCAGAGTATTTATCGTGCGTGGATCGGGCGCTGGGGGGATTTAGCTGCATCAACCGTTCGGAGTGTATACAGTGAGGTTCGGGTTGTGTGATTCTTTTTTATTCAGTGTATTGTTACGTACCTACATGATCACTGTTCCAGTACACTTTCCATAGAGACATCGGATTCTGAATCGTACTTTGAACTGAGTTGGAAATATCGTTTGATGTTTGCTTCTATATCTACTGCATTTATAATATATATGGACGAAGTGTAGTGTACCAAGCTTCAAATGGCTAAAATGCAATTTCTGGAGCCTGTTTTTTTGGTAAGTTTGTTTGTTTATATGTAATAAATGCATATGTGAGACGTGGAGTCATTATTATCAGCTGATTATGAATTTGTCTATAAAGTCAGCACATTTATGGGAATATTTAGTAGGCTGGTAGGCTATATCATGAAAATACTTAAAATATTAAAACTTAAAACCTTTATTAATTTCACAACTTGCAAATAATTAAAATGAATTTGACTAGATCTATTATCTTATTATACGTCCGTGTTGAAGATGAAAATATTTATAAAAAAATAAATGATAAATAAATAAACACAAATAATTGAAATAAATACTTATATTGTCCAATCAAAACAGCTGTTGGGCGTACAGTCCGTACATCAACAGGTGCGCAGAAACCCGGAAGCTGGGCACATTGTCCAGGATGTCATACGAAGTTTTAATCAACAGTGTGTGTCTTTAACTTCTTGTTGGTCAAGATTTTATTTCCGGACTGTGGCTTTAACAACAGGTAACGCAAACACACACACACGATTGTCGTATTGTTTCAACGCTGAATAGCTCATATATACATAGCGATCGCAGGGGCTAGCTGTCGTCTGTGGCCTCGTTAACTTGTTGATGACAAACTGTATGTTGACAGTGAGTGAATGAATGTGATAATGAAGTGGACACGCAAAGATCAAACCTTCTCAGATATATGAGCATTGATATCGATGTCATGTCAGCTAAATGTACAATAATCAGATAAACTCAAGTGTTCATTATAACCAACCGTCATACTTTCACGAGACAGTTATTATTGTGAGCTTTTCGACTTCAGGCTTTGGGAGACTCGTTAGTTGAAGTGGAAACACTGATGGCGATTTAGATCGATAATGATGCTGGTGATGAAAGGTACAGGCACGGTGTTGTCGTACGAGTTGATAGCAAAATATACCGTTTGGCTTGGAGATCTACGTTTGTATTTCCAGTATATTGCTACTGTCAGGACTTATATGGTCAATAGGCTATGTAAATGAGGGTGATTCATACCATTTACAGTAAGGTTGCCTCCTGTTCAGTTGATCTGTGGTAGGGCATGATGTTGTTGTGAGGAAGTGCTATGCTGACAGACAATATCTGTATTTTTTTCATGGTTAAAACATTTACAGAAAGTTTGCATCTATTTCTGCGAAGCTTTAAAAGGTATGGTTAATTTGTCATGTCTATTTAATTTCATTCAGGAGGTTGGTAACTTTTAGTGCCTAATACCATTGAGAAGTGTATACCCCTTTTTACATTATGTCTTTTATTAGACCAAATGTTTGAATAAGGTGTTTATCCTGATATTTATTCTCATAGCTATTCTTCATGATTGAACTATGTAATCCTTTCTCAGTCAATTTTACTACCTACAACATACTACATACTACTATATGTTTCATTTGTATCTTGTATCTGATCTGCTTATGACTGAGACTGAGATGTTGGTATGAATTAATGCCCACAAATGTCACTGCTCTCAGAATGTGTGAAGGCTGGAATATTGCTTGGAGCAGCATAAAACCATACTCATTCACTGCCGTATTCATGTGTATTCAATCATGTTAATTCTTACTTAGGAATAGAGTTGAGGTACATGTAGTATGATAGACTAACATCTAGTCACCTGAAATGAACATATTTTACAAAAAAAAAACAGTTGTTAAATTATCTTAATAAAATATAATAAAAAGGAGACCAGAGTCTTTCTTTATTTTCCTGATACTGCAGTAATCTAGACTTGCCAAACATTATAGACTTGCATGGGCTGTGTTGGATATGTTTGTATCAGGGTCTGTATAACCATGATTACAGACTAGTAGTGTGATTTAACTCCACTTTCTGCATATTCTAGCAATATCATGGTCGGGGACACCAGAAATGGGCTTAGCACATTGTACCCATGTGGAGAATGGGACCTGGGCCTTCAGTGTGATGAGCAAACGCTGTAACCACTTGGCTACCCCACAACCCCTACTCAGGAATAAAGACAATATTGGCAGTAATATTAAATTATGAATAATGATTTTTATCCTATGCGGAAAACCATGTACAATGCAAATGTATTTAAAGTGGACTAGAGTTGGGTTTATAGGTAGTCCTTCTCCTCATTTGATTGCAGCACCTCAAACGCCATTTTGTCTACTAGCTCACATTTTAATGCCTCAGTTTCATGCATGGTTCTAATTGAAGTGTAATTACACATTACTGGCTGCAGACCGTGAGGCAAGAAGAAAAATATACTGTAATTTAGGAAAAGAAAAGGAAATGTTTAAAATTATGTATTTTTTTAGTTTGGCTTAGAAAGATCAGTAAACACAACCACAACTTTTGATAATAAATGATACTGTTTCTGACTTCAAAACAAATTATTATTCATGTAAAACAACACTAGTCATGGCAAATGCACAATATGTTTCAGGATAGTCTCTTACGTAATATGGGAATAGTCATCTTTAGTTATGGTTTATGTTTAAGCATTTATTAGTACTTGAAGTACAGTATATATGTGTATTACTATCAAATTAAGTACAATGTATTGTCTGACTATGGCCCTGTGGTAATAATGATAAACTCACACAATACCTGAATCTTAGTCTTCATTGAATAGGCTCAGTTTGAGCTGTGTTAGACTTAGCATTACTCATGTGACCATAATCTTAACAATTCATTGTTTGCTAATCTTCCTGTCAGCTTTAGACCCTAATCATTATGTTAACTATCTTAACAGTTCATTGTTTGTTTAACCTTCATGTCAGCTTTAATATGTTTAAACCTTAGCCATTATGTTAAACATGTTCCTGTTATATATATGCGTTTGCAGTTCATAAAAATGTTGCATTTCAAAGTGTGTTGAATCACTGTTGATTCTATTCCCCTGAATGTTGCTCTCAGAGTCTGTACCTTGTCCTGGAATGAGACACAATTGTTTACAGTGTTTACATTATCTGCCAGTGTCACTTTTATTCAGTTTCAATTTATAGCAAAAACTAAAAAAGAAGCCTTGAGAACTGGTTCAAAATTATGGCTCTTGCAACTAGTCAGTGAAGACTACTATATTGGATTTTTACTTATCTGCAGCACAAATTAGTAGCCTCGAGCTAGCAGACTAGCATGAATTTCGAAGGCTGTGTAGTCAGTGTTGCCCATGACTTGTAGAGCTTCTGGTATAAGGGACTGGCAGTAAATAAATGTACCATTTTGGTAACTTTTCATCAGTCCTGATGTTGAAACACTAATGGCTGAATAAGAAACAAACACACACTTTCAGAGCTCCCTCATGTTATCACGTTGGACTTTCTGTGCATTTGCAGCTGAAGACATGTACCTGGACCTGCTCAGAGGTCAGTGCTTAGCTTCAAATCTGCAGCAAATGTCTCTGCAAGTTCCCAAAGTGGATTCACAAATTTCCCATTACCGGCGTGTATGTTATATACCATATTTTCTTGAGTATAGTGTGCACTTTTTTCTTTAAAAAAACCCAGCTGTGTAGAAGTGGGGTGTGCATTATACACGTCATAATGAGTTTTGATGTTTTTTTCCCCCAACATGCCCAACACAGACATTACCGTGAACACGAAACACTGGAAATACGATGCCGACAAATCCGTACTGATGTACGCAAATTTATCATATAATTACACTGTCTGGTTATAAAAAGTGTTCATTGTATATCTGGACCTATGTTTGTAACTTATTTCATTAATTTTATTCAAAATTCCATTAAATATTGTTTTTATTAATTTCGTCGAAATCGTGTTTGAAGCGACCGGAAGATTGCTCAACTCACCGTTATTAACAGCAACCTCAGTTATTAACCACAGTTATTAACTTTTACTTTGGCTTTGTAGAAGTGATTTGTAGTTCACTGTCCAATTTGAGCAAACTTATGACATTTCCCCCAAATTGCTTCCCAAAGGAACTCAGTGTGGAATCCTGGATACATCCCGGCTGTCTAGTTTTATACTATTGCAACTGTTAATGCATGTGTGATATACTCTCAGATTTGTTGGTCCTGAGGCCTAAATGACCTCAGAGTAAAATAGCCAACACAAGAGACCTATTTATTCAGTGCTACACCAGTGTCTTCTATACACAGTTGTCTCCCTTAGCAATGTCAGGCCGTTCTCATGCTCAGTTATACCACCAAAGCCGTATATAACCAAAGACGTATATATACGTCTTTGGTTATACCAGAGGGTATGGTGTTACGCTGCTTTTTGCAATATTCCAGCAATATCACGACGGGGGACACCAGAAATGGGCTTCACACATTGTACCTAATGGCTATGTGGGGAATCGAACCTGGGCAAGCGAACTCTGTATCCACTTGGCTACCCCACCGTGCCTCAGTTGACCAGATTGGCCCTGGTGGTGATCGTTGGTACATCAGCCCCATCCACTGCTTGTGGGTTTCATGGTAAATGTCATACACAGAGCTCCAGATAACTTTTTGAGCAATTGAGTTTTTACTCTAGGGTTTCTATTTTAATTGGGTTATTACATTCATTGGGTAACCAGTACTTTTTCACTCATCTATTCATCACTCTATTGGGTATTTCCCAAGATAAGTAAACATTTTAAGATTTAAAAAAAATGAAATAAAGTTTTAGATGTATCACTGATGTATATAACTGTTCTAAATATATAGGTTTCACTTGGAAAGTAAATTAGCTCGTAACTATGTTTCGGAAATTAGCTCCTTTGGGTATGTAAGTGAGCTGTTTTTATACATTTGAGTTTTTCATTTAATGCATGCGTTTCTGTACTCAAGTTAATTGAAAGTAATTGCGTTTTGAATATGTTTTTTGGTATTTTACACAAATACGCTGCTTATCTGTAGCTCTGCATATACCTACAATACTTTGGGCTTTCCTCCCACATCTCGCTGAAATACTGTCGAAAGCTGCTTTTGACTCTCTCATTCAATGTATTTTCATCTAACTTGTTTTCAAAATGGACAACACAGTTTGTACTTTGGTTGAACTTCCTCTTCCTCCCTGTCCCAGAAACCTACTGTACCTGTGTCAGTCATTGGTTGGTTGTGTTAGTGGCTGAGTGGATATAATGTTTACTTATCACACCAAGGTTTGAATCATTGCAAGATTGTAATGTTTATTTTGTATTTCATAGACTATAGTATAATCTGTTTTGAGAACTACATTTCAATGCTTTCTAAGCAATACTGGTCGCGTTGTCCAAATCATTTTCTGTAGTTGTGCCCGATTTTTTGTAACCATATTTATACAAAAACATGGAATAATAAACTATAATGAGCATAATAGCTAAAAGATATGATAAAATTTATAACGTTACAGTCAGCATTCATCCCAAAACCTATCTACAACACAATCATACCTATTGATTGTGCAGTTGTTTGGCTAAGGTCGCAAACAGTGTTATCAGTTGGCCAGTGCATGACACACACTCACACTGCAACTGGAAGTTTCTACCATAGCTTGTATTTATCTTCTTACTACCAGGACT